TTAAAGGTTTGGCTAATGACCCGGATAAACAACCGAATCCGAAGACGTGCCCAGAGCCAACTGGGATTAAATCTCGCTTTTTGGTTTTAGTAGCGCTGTCAACTGGGCCTGGTACGCAGTCACACTGCTGATGTCAGCTTGTACGGTATAATTCAACTTAGTCCGTTAATATGAAACTGCCGTATCCTTTATTACTGCCGTCACATTGTTCGGCACTGCTGGGCTGGGGGAAAATTTTGCGTTTCATAACTAAGCCAAATAATCGAGGGTTTCCACGTGGACACATTAGCCCGGCGTTTCACTCTACTTATGGATTCAAACCGAACATTTCAAGCACACTACTCTTCCAGATCTTCTCCATCTTTTGCCCGGGTCATTACTGAACCTTTTTTCTCTATCGACAGTTTCAGACAAATATGGCATCAAAGTTTATGACAGCGTGGTTCGTTACAGAATACAAAACCTAAAGCATCATTCAGTGCTGACCCTGCAGTGAAAACATGTCGTTGTAAACCTGGATTTATCCCTCTAACAACCTTGTCCATAGTAGCCCACTCTATGCTGGCTTGACAAGATGACAAGTAGTCACCATTGACCACTCGTAAAATCTCCTTGACTATCATGTGAGAAGAGTCCTTTTATTCAGTACCACAACTTTTACGAAAATATACTTACATAGATATATAAATATTTACACAATGTTGCCGTTCAGACCTCTCCTACATCGGAGTGATAAATTTCTGAAATCTCTGCTAGCGGATATCCATCGTTTTATTTTCTATAATGGCATCTACAAGTTGGCGATTACTCCTAATGTTCGTATGAGCATTCAAAATCTTACGGGACGCGCTTGGTGCTGCTGTCATCGCCATCTGAATGATCAGGGCCAAGGATAGAGTAGATAGAATAATGACGTCTGACGCTTTGACTTTTCAGAATGATTCAGGTGATTTTGATTACTGCAGCAGAGGTCATGTTTTTCGTTTTGCCTCTAGCAGCTGATTTAGGATGCGATTTTGGTCTCTGACATTTCCGCGGATATTTTTTTGCTTCTTAGAAAAGAATAGGTCTCAATTCTCTCTCTCCGGATAATCCTGTCAAACCACGACAGACGCCGGATCCTGATCTCCTCTCGTCAGAGAGCATTCACAGGCGATCGTCTTCAAGAACTTTTCATCTGTCATTCGACAGAACCGTTGCAGGATGTTCCGAAGACAGCATCCTAAACAGCCCGCAACATCTTTAAGTTCGCGGTTTATAGAATGGTTAATGTTTCAAGGTTGCACATCAGGATTGAGAAAAAGGTAGCTTTTGGAACGGGGATCTTTCTTGCTGTCCGGATAGAGCGATCTTGCTACACTTTAAAAAATAGCCCGCATTTAGTGTATTGCATACGCACAGTTTGTTTTATCACTTCACATAATCTTCACGGGTTGAACTGATTTTGATTTGCACTTGAAATGGAAACGCCAGCTTGACTAAATTTATGTCCTTGACCTTCTAGGTATTCAGCAAATGGCTGAATGTTCTGCGCGACCTTGCCGATGGGCATACGAGTATTTCTTGCATGGACACTCAATTTCCTAACTGTTTTGAAAAGACAAAATTGACCGCATTTTGGCACTGGATCGTATAAACGATAACGGTGTTTACCAAAAAAACTGCCATAACGAAACGCCTTGTGCTAAACTCGGAGGTAGGATAAGAAAGTCGCAAACAGTGTAATGAGTGGTGGAGATTACAACCTAAAATTTAAAATCATATCTGTCAGGTTAAGTAATGACATTAACCTGATAAATATCGACTGATAGACTAGAATTTACCTCAATAAAAAATCTTCCATTCAGTTTAAAATCCTGTAGTTTGTACGACAGATGCGGCTTACTGCTTTCCATAATATTGTCGTGCCCTGATGATGCTAATGCCTTCGAAGCGAAAAGCTGGACAATTAATTTTTAACATTCATTGAACAGTTAAGTACTCTTAGCCATGAATCGATGAGAAATTTACAATTTCAATAACGAGCTAAGAATCGCAACTGCTATGCAATACTAATTGTATGAAACTCAACCAGTAAAGTGCATTTAACTTGAACATCATATTCGTGTCCCACTTCATAAATCGATAAAAAGCAGACGAACGCGGAAGACACCTGTCACTTGCCACCTAAGCAAAAGTTTAAATTATGTCGCACCAATGAAGAGGCAAATAAAAATTCTGTTCCTCGAATAGCATTATCGATTTATTATACGTTTTCACACAAAAACCCAAGGTTTATATATCGTTAAACTAACGGCCGTTGCGATTAAAGAATAATGATTGAGTTAAGCTAGCAATACGGGATGTATTCCAAAGTTAAAAGACCAAAACAGTCAAAAAATGACGACGAGTTACGAAGGCTGAAAATCGAAGCAATGTATTATATATTGTCAGAGATGGTCAAAAGAAAATTAGTAAATATAGCGTATAAGCAAATAAACCATGCGTGTTCAATGGCGAAAATCGGATGAAGAATAATGCTTATTACGAACAGCCAAAAACTAGGGTCACCAGGCAATACAATTAATCAACTGCCAAATTAATCAGTCACTGAAAAACTTAACCAAGAGGGCTATTGAACTAAGAGGGTTTTTGAGGATATGCAAAAAGCCCGGAACAAACAAACGCGGCCACGTAGCTTGTCGCGTCATCGACATCAAAAACACATTCTGTTGTGTACGTATTGTTAGTGGTTCAAAAAATGATAAGCTCGTAGGCAGCGTGGTGAGGAAAATAACAACAAGACGCAGTTGGTTCATCTGTTCATCACTGAAAACAGCGGCATGAGACGAAGAACGCCAAAAAAAGAAACGGACAGCAAGGAGAAAGGTGAAAAACTTGCCTGCGTGATACCGAGGATGCGAGATACGCCGAACGAGATATAAATGATGAGACTGGTGGAGTCGACGATGGCCACGAAGCCGTCCAAGCAGTCTGCCAGGCTCATTTCCGAGAAGTAGGCGGTGGCCGGTGTCGCAGCTGTCTTCTGCTTCGAGGTATTGCGTTTCTGAACATTGACGGAGACGGCGGGGAACACTGCAACATATGCATCGAGCCATACAACAAGTTGAAAGGCCGACGAAGACGAGGAAAAACGAGTCACAAAGAAAAAAACAAAAAAAAATAACTCCAACCTCGATCGGCGAC